TTGTGTAGTGGTTGAAGATTTGTGAATGATTTTCTGCTGTTGGTTTTCGTGTGGGGCATATTAAAGAGTGCGTCATCTTGCTGGTGCATGTATTCTAGAAGGCTGKYCCTAGGGAATCATCGTTGGTTTTTGTATGGTCTCTAATGGACGTACACTGTCATATCAAGGTATCCAAAGCGAAGATGGGAGAGTTTAAGGCGTTTGAGGCTCAAAGGCCTTTGCTTGAAAATATAGTGTTAATGAGGGAGCACTGTCGTATCTGCTCTCCCCTCTAGAGGCCATTATGCTTGAGATAACTGCTATGACTCCAGTTGGAGGAGCTCGGCTTGGGGGCCTAGGACATGACTCCACCTTGGGGGGGTTGTCCGCTTTGATTTCGATGAAGCCTGCCAAGTAGCCACACCTGATTAGGTCCTCGAGATGGTGCTTAAGGTTGAGACAGTTGTCAGTCTCATTGTTGTAGTCCCGATGAAAATTACAATACTTGTCTTGGTTTCTTTCATTTCCCTGGGTTTTCATCTTTTCGGGCCATTGGCCATATTTGCAATCTTGGATCTACATCAATATTTCAGATCACAGTGCAATCAATGGCATGAAATTCCTGAAGGTCGGAGGTGGTGTGCACGGCCTCCACTCTGATTGGTGGTCCTATCGTTTGCTTTCTCAGCCTGCCCTCTCTGTCTTCCGCTCCTTAGTATCTCTTCTCCTTTTGTCGGGTCATTCCTCGTCATCTCCTTGTGCCTGGGCTTCCTCCGCATTGATGTATTTCTAGGTGTGGCTTATCAGTGCAGCTATAGTCTAATGAGGGTTCTTGGATATCGAGAAGTTGAAAGGTGAAGGGCATAGTCCGTGCTGTATGACTATGACGGTCACTAACTGGTTCAAGTGCCAAACTTGTAGTGCTTTGGTATTGAACTTTGCTAAATAGTCTCTGAGAGACTCTCCCTTCCACTGCTGCACTTGCACGAGACTAACTAAAGTTTTCTATTGCTTTTGGCTTGTGTAAATTGCACCAAAAACTGGTTCTCCAGTTGTTCCCAAGAGGAAATAGAGCAAGGGGAGAGAAGAATACCACATCAGGTCTACTCCTTTTAGGGTTGCCACAAAAGCTTTGCACATTAGGACGTTGGATGAGTTGTGCAACATCATTTAGGCTTTGAAGGCCGCTACATGGTCACCAGAACCTGCACTTCTGTCATACATTTCGAAGGATGGTGCCAACCATCTGATTGGAGGGAGTTCATCAACTATTTCTTGCATGAAATGAGGCTTGGTGGCAGGCTGAGTTGTCGGTGCTACGGACTGCATCATAGGAGGGGCCACGCTTTCTAGGCTTGGTTGTGCTCCAGCTCGGTCAGACGCTACCGAAGTTCCTAGATCTCAACATCCCTGTCGTCTGGAGTTGCAGTGTGCATGGGCCTCTCCTTCTTGGGTAGTATTGGGCAGTCTTTCACCGAACTAGACTTGGAAATGGAGACCGGTTGATGCAGCATCCTCTTACCAAGCCTTTCTTTGGCTAGGATTCGAGCAGTCTGGTGAGCCCTACTTTGGTTATCGCACTCTTGGTACCGAGCAATGAGCTCAATCTTTTTGAAATGTCTTGTTTGTCCTGTTCAGACTGCGCCCTATCTCTGCCTAACCAATGTGTTTTGGGGTCCTCAAGGGGAGGATTAACCTTTGTATGCATCGAGGCAAGAGGGGGGATAGTATGAGTGGGCAGCACTATGGATCCCAGCGACTGCATCATCGCCAGGATTTGGTCAACCTTTTCTTGCATTGCTTAAAATTGTGTAGTGTTGATTGTTGCTGGTTGTTGGGGTGTCTGGCTTTCCTAACTCGGCGGGCTACGACAAGAACAAGATTCCYGAGGTGGAGATAGAGTTGTCGATCTTTCAAAGTTGTTTCTTGGCATCTTGGTTGATTCTTGATGGCACGATAAGCAATGAGCTCAATCTTTTTGAAATGTCTTGTTTGTCCTGTTCAGACTGCGCCCTATCTCTGCCTAACCAATGTGTTTTGGGGTCCTCAAGGGGAGGATTAACCTTTGTATGCATCGAGGCAAGAGGGGGGATAGTATGAGTGGGCAGCACTATGGATCCCAGCGACTGCATCATCGCCAGGATTTGGTCAACCTTTTCTTGCATTGCTTAAAATTGTGTAGTGTTGATTGTTGCTGGTTGTTGGGGTGTCTGGCTTTCCTAACTCGGCGGGCTACGACAAGAACAAGATTCCCGAGGTGGAGATAGAGTTGTCGATCTTTCAAAGTTGTTTCTCGGCATCTTGGTTGATTCTTGATGGCACGATAAGAAAGAAATAGGGAAGGCTTTTTGTGTGTATCCCACACACGATGCCAATTTGATGCTGCTCAATCCTAGGTAGTGCAAGAACTGAGGTCATAGTCAAGTAGTCCTTGCTAGTTGAGCGGAGCCAAGGTGGAAGGATGGAGCCACACACCAAGATCTACAAACATGAAATCAGTCAAAGGCCTAAGGAATTATCCCCAGGTAGATACTCTGATGATAAAGTCAATAGAAGGATGTGGGCGCACGGGCCGCACAAGGAGTCGTGTGCTCATCGAATGAGGCTTCTGGGGTTGCTGGGATGAGGTTACCTGCTAAGGTCTTCGGGATAAGACCTAATACTGAGTAGAGTTGTTCCAAACGGCTCTCCTGTCTTGGTCGAGCTTATCCCTATGACATGGAATCATCATTGTTGAAGAGGTCGAGTGGGACCATGGAGATGATGCGATGCTGATGTGGCCGAGGAGAAAAGGTGGGTCGTAGACATGACGTGGTGCTGACGTAGCCAAGGAGATAAGGTGACCATGTAGGCGCAACGTGGCATCCAAAGTCAGCTCAGCCATAAACCGAACAACAACAACAACAACAACAACAATAATAATAATAATTGTTGATATTTAAATATATATATATATATAAATAGTTTACAATATTCAATAACGTATGTAGGAAATTATTAAAGTTTATAAATAAATTATTTTTACAATGAAATTATTCAAATTAAAAAACAGTAAATTTAATAAAATTAATTTATAAATTAATAAGTAATATAATAAAATTAATTTCTTACTAAACTTTGTTCCATAAATGGGTATGAATTAAATTACTCCATTTAAGTATGATAAAAAATTAATAATAGTATTAAAAGTTAATACCAACTTATCTAATAATGTAAAAACAAAATATTAATTTTATTTTTTAAATTCCAATTAAAAGTGCAAAAATTAACACAAATTTATTAAAACAAAAATTAATAGAAAATGTTAATTTATACTTTATTTATAATAATTTAAATCCATTCAAAATTCCATATACCCAACAAAGCTATGTTTGATGAAAAATCTGGAGAGACAAAATCGGCTGTCAGGTAATTTCCCTCCATGAACTTTGGAGAGACAAAATTCCATCACTGCTGTCAAAGGGGCCCAGACTAAGAGATTGTATGTCTATGCATGGGCTGCAATTCTGTCTCTATCATGTATCGTCCTACTATTTCAAAGATGCAAAGATGGATTCCAACGTTGACGCATAAAATTAAGTATTATCAAAATAAGATGATATATTTTATTAAGGCAGATCCATTCACCCAACCAACTAAATTAGTTCTTCCCAAACAATACGACATTGAATTGTTCAAAGTATCTTACAAACTAGAAAACTTGAATGCTTTTTTATTTTTTATTTTTTTATCTTTTTGGTAGAAACGAAGAAGGCAGCTTCATTCACCTAACCAGAATTCTTCCCAAACAATACGGCAATGAAGTTTGAACAATTAAACCTTATAAATTACAAAGAAGCAGTTCACAACATACTGAAGTGGGAAAAATAAAAGTTAAGTGATGTGTGAGTTGAATAAACACCCAGCTCATCCTCTGGTTGTTTTACTTTTTTGGGTTCTTTTGGTTCCTTCCAGCAATTCTGAAGCAAGATCACCATCAGAAGCTGAGATTCTCCTCAAGTGGAAAGCTGATCTCCAAAGCCAAGCCATACTCGGGTCATGGTCGATGCCTCCCAACTCATCAACTGGTTCTACTCCAAACCCATGCAACTGGACCGGCATAACTTGCAACTCGGACGGAAGTGTAACCCAATTAAACCTGCCTGAGGCCGGTTTAAGTGGTAAGCTCGACAACTTGGACTTCTCTATGTTGCCCAACCTTGGCCGACTCAATCTGAGTGGCAATAAACTTGAAGGTTCAATCCCCCAACACATAAGCACACTTTCAAAACTCACCCACCTTGATCTCTCTGTGAATCGTCTCTCTGGTTCTCTACCTTTATCCATGTCTAACCTCACTATGCTATACTTGCTCAACATTTCTGATAATCTGATAACTGGTGAACTAGATCCTCATTTGTTAACAAATTGGACAAGACTGACCTACCTCCGACTCATAAACAATAGCCTCACTGGAAGAATCCCTCCCGAGATCGGATTGCTTACAAGTCTCAAAGAGCTAGCCTTGTTAGAAAATCAGTTCAGTGGTTCAATTCCGTCTGAAATTGGAAATTTAAACAAGTTGGAAGCGTTAGGCTTAAGCCATAACCATCTTACCGGAATCATCCCTCCATCTTTGGGTAATCTGAGTGAACTAGAACATTTAATCCTGGGTGACAACCAACTTTCAGGAATCATTCCTCCAAGAATTGCTAATCTGAGAAAATTGATCACTCTTTATCTTTATGGAAACCAACTATCAGGTCCAATACCTCAAGAAATAGGAAATCTCTCGTCCTTGCTGTTTGCACTCCGTCTGAGTGACAACAACCTGTCTGGCCACTTACCCGAGCATGTCTGCCAAGGTAGATCTCTTTTCTATTTCACTGCATCTAGAAACCACTTAACTGGCCGCATCCCAGAAAGCCTGAGAAACTGCACAAACTTGTTTAGAGTTGAATTAGATAATAATCAGCTGACAGGAAGTATAGACCAAGCCCTTGGGATCTATCCAATTCTCGACTATATTGACCTTAGCTACAATAGATTAGAAGGGGAGCTCTCACCCAATTGGGGTGAATGTCGGAATCTGACAGTGCTGAAAATCTCCAGCAATAAGATCTCAGGGAGGATACCACCAGAGTTTGGCAAGTTAACCCATTTGGGGGTGCTTGATCTCTCTTCAAATCAACTTGTCGGAGAGATCCCAAAGCAACTCGGAGGACTACCTTCTCTACTCAACCTACGTTTAGGAGATAACCAACTTTCTGGTCAGATACCACTTGAAATTGGAGGACTTTCCAATCTGGAATTGCTAGACCTCTCGTTCAACAAGTTTACTGGACCAATCCCAAAGCCAATAGGGGACTGCACCAGACTGCGGTCTTTGAGCTTGAACCACAATTATTTGAATGGAACCATCCCTGATGAGATCGGAAATCTGGGTGTCCTCCAACAGCTACTAGATCTTAGTCAAAATTCACTCACCGGAGAGATTTCACCAGAGCTTGGAAAGCTGAATATGCTGGAGAGCTTAAATCTCTCTCACAATGAGCTCAGAGGTTCCATTCCCACTTCACTAAGCAATATGGTTGCACTGACACAAATCGATTTTTCCTACAATGAATTGGAGGGTCGTGTTCCTAATACAAGTATCTTTCGGAGAGCTGCATCACCTGAGGCTTTCAGTAACAACAAAGGTTTATGTGGTGAGGTCGAAGGTTTGCCACCCTGCAATAATCCACATCAATATCCACAAAAGAAAAAAGGCCACAAATTTGGGATTACTATTGTCGCTTCTTTGTTAGCCACGTTTGTCTTAGTGTCCATACTTGTTGGACTCTTTTCCCTTTACTACCGGAAAAGATGGGTGAAATTAGGGAGAGGAAATAGTTCTTCAAGCGGTGATGATGAATATTTTTCAGTACTAAAATTTGATGGGAAGATTGTGTACGACGACATCATCTCAGCCACAAATGAATTTGACAGAAAATACTGCATCGGCAAAGGAGCAACTTCAAGTGTTTACAGAGCAGAGCTACCCAGTGGGGTTGTATTAGCAGTGAAGAAACTTCGTTCCCTTGAAGGAGAAGAAGTAGAGATAATGAAAAGCTTCAGGAATGAGATACAAGTGTTGACAGAAATCCGGCATCGGAACATAGTAAAGTTTCATGGTTTCTGTTGTCACCAGCAGCACAGTTTTCTTGTTTATGAATACCTGGAGAGGGGAAGCTTAGCAAATATGTTGAGTAGCGAGGAAGGAGCAAAAGAATTGGATTGGGGGAAGAGGGTGAAGGTGATTAAAGGCATAGCCCATGCTTTGTCTTACATGCATCATGATTGCAGGCCAACCATAATCCATCGAGACATATCCAGCAAAAACATTTTACTGGATTCAGAGCTTGAGGCTAAAGTAGCTGACTTTGGCACCGCAAGATTTTTAAAGCCTGCTAATTCGTCTTGCTGGACCACACTTGCTGGGACATACGGATATATGGCTCCAGGTAAGTAAATTAATTAAAGTTGAGCTTCTGAAAAGTAGTAATCATGGTGAGAAAGAGATTAAGTAGTCTAGGTTTAGGTGCCGTTTGGCATGGCAAGTATTTTTAAGACAATTTTCCCACAGCCTAGCTAGATGCATCGCGAAAAGATCTAATGATGTCTTTAAAAGATCTAGACCAAATGGTAAGTATTCATTTTAGATATAGAAAGACAGCAGGAAGCTTCAWTTCCAGTCTCCCCATTTTGAGTTTTCAAATAGAGAAAGACCAAATTTTGGTGTTCCAAGCTTTGAAAATGCTTCCTTAATTTTTTGGAGGCTAGAGTAATTTTCAAGTTCTTGCATGCCTATACTTTTTGAAACTGGATGAAACTTACTTTGTTTTCCTTAGTCTTGGATATGGGCCTAAACATCCCCTGTCACATACATTTGCCTTGTATGGACGTCAGGTCTTTGAACATGCAGGAAAAAATATTAAAAAATATAAAAAGTTAGTTACTTAAAAAAAACCACTAAAGTGTCAAAACCTACCTAGGTAAGTTTTTCTTGGGAAATACTTACCTAGGTATGTGTATTTATGCATGTTTTTTTATTTTCCAAGTAAAAAAGAAAATGATCATTTCGTTCATAAAAATCTATTATTAAATGGGGTATTTTTTGTCCTATTCAAGTGTTGGAATCTTTTCTCCCATGTGGAAAAGTTATTTACCCGCCTAAGAGATGGGTATACCCGGGAAAATAAACTTTCCCTGATCTCTACATTAATCTGAAAAAAGAACATGGGATTTTTGGTCAATGGGATTTGGTTCCCATTGACCAACTTTCTCCCCTCTCAAAATCCCAAAATAGAACACCCCCTAAGAACTTAAAATGCTTTGCTCAGTATGGAAAGAGTACAAATGCAAATATATATATATATATATATATATATATATATAGTACGTGCAAATAGTAAACATTTGTATTTGTTTTTATATTCTTCCCAAACTGAGCTTTGGAAGCAACTTTATTGATGCAAGCCCCACAACTAAAAAAGCACTAAAGTAATTCTTTATACCCCATACATAAATCATATATGCTATTATTTATTATTTCCTTAATTGTACAAGGAACTATTAAATATTTCAATATTGCATTCTCATTTTGAGTGCAACTATAATTTATAGTTAATTGAAATAAAACCAGTAGATGAAAAAGAAGAGAAGGAACAAAAATAGTTGCTTATAGCCTTATACAATGACGATGGCATCTAGTAAAATGTTCTCTCTCTCTCATACAAATGCATGCATGCATGTAACTAAAAGCTTAAATGGTCCTTTAGCGTAGGTTGAAAGACCAAAATATTTCTCAAGAAATTCACTTTTTAATTACTTAGGTTTAGCTTGGAAAGAGTTCAAATACAAATACGTATGGTGCAAAACCATGAATTTTGTATTATTAAACCTGTATTTGCATTGTACATATATTTGTATTTGTATTCTTTCCAAATACAAATTCACTTCTTCTTCTTCACCAATTTATGACTTGTTTGTATCTTTTATTGCAGAGCTCGCTTACACAATGCATGCGACTGAAAAATGTGATGTTTACAGCTTTGGTGTTTTGGCATTAGAAATAATAATGGGAAGACATCCAGGGGAKATCATATCTACCTTGTCCTCATCAATTGATCATGGCTTGCTGCTGCTAAAGAATGCAATGGATCCACGTCTCTCATTTCCCATAACTAAACTAGTTGTAGACCACCTACATTCCATTTTGAATTTATCAATTGCATGCTTACATGCCAATCCACAATTTCGACCAACAATGCAGTATGTCTCCCAGCAGATAATATTGTCMCCTTAATATTTTCTCAGATTTMATTACTTTCTTAGTTAAATATTATTCCTTAGGCTGTGTTTGGTTGCAATTCAAATAAATTTGCACTGATGCAAAATTATTGCAGTACAAATGATTTGAATGTAAATTCTGATCTATTGTTGTTTCAAATTTTAATTTATTTTGTTCGATTACAGTACAAATGAAATAAATCAAGACATAAAGCAAAAAAAAGTAAAACCCAAAATAAAATTAAACGAGAATTTGCATTTTTTTTCATTGGCACTCCCATGCCTTTGTACTAGTGCAAATAAAATTGCACTTCAACCAAACACAGCCACAGTTTAAGAAATCACTCTCTTATGATAGTAGTACAGCAGTAGCATGACAGTTAAAGAAATCACTTTCCGACAATCACGAACTCATTTTCTATGGGTTGTTCTTTTACTATGAGCAACATCCTCATTGGATTCTAATCCTAAAATTTGAAAAAGAGGAGACTTGAGTAACACCACTCTTGTTGTATTCTAACCTAAAAATTGAAATGGAGAGGATTGCAAGGGGGCAAACACTTACCTTCACCTCCTATGTGTTTAATGAAATGTTTAAATAGTCACAATATGCATTTTATTTGTTTTTTTCTTGTATATTATTGACTAACATGCTAATTCTTTTTATTATTTGGGTGTAAAGCAAGAATGACTAACACACTTTAGATTTCCAAACTTGCCCGTTATAGATTTCCATCATCCCAACAATTTGGCCAATTAAATACCACCACTTTGTTTAGAGACCCAAAATAACCCCTAAGATGTCAAATTTTATGACCTAACTTGCTTGTTTGACAGCCAAACTTGGACAATGCCATTTAGACGCACCAGATCGAATCGCCACATCATGTGTCCCAACCTAAAGCATCAAAAGGGTGATGATTGATGTCAGACCCATTCTTGACATGATCAAACACTTGAAGCAATTAAATTGAGCCTAATATGCTTAAAAAGCTCAAAATGCCAAAGGTACCCCCACTTGAAACTAAGAAAAGACAAAACCTCTTTTAAAAGTTCTTCAAATTTACATTTTCTACCACTGAGGCTGCCATGACAAGTACACCCGAAGCTCCTATTATTCGTACAAAACCCATAAAAACCACCTCCAAATTGAAGACAATTATTCACCAAAGAGGAAAGCTTGACCATGTATCATTTTCTTTATAAAATCTTTATCCATTTTTGAGAAAAACCTATTTTCAAGTCCAAGCCCTATAATTGGATGAATTTCAAAACTCCTTCCCTTTTTTCTTTATAAGTATGGATCCAACTCAAGCTATGGATGGGAGAAGGGGGCTTTCGAGAGGACTTTTGGTGCAAATTGTCAGCACCAATTTTTGCTCGGTTCACCGCTAGAACCTCCAATCTCCCCGAAACACCCAAAAAACTCAACTTTTACCCTGAGAACCCTCAGATTCACCACTAAATTAAACATGCTTGATACTTATCCAATGGCCCTGATCAACCCTCGTCTACACTTTAACCCTCATATCAGACATAATCATTAAACTCCAAACACATCAAAATACTTGCCCATAAAGTTTTAACCCCAAATTTTCTCATTTACCCTTCTATTAAACCAAGATTTTGTTCTAGAACATCCTGTTGACCCAAATTCCTACGATGTTGACCCCCCAAGACTAATCAAACATCACCATCAGATCTTGGATACCCTAAAATACCCACTTGTAAAATTGTAGCCCAAATTCCTACGATGTTCTAGAACATCCTGTTGACCCAAATTCCAAATCTGCCCAATCCGAGCCTACTTGGCCCAATCTAACCTTACCAATCACCTCATACTACCCAAAAACCCTACCCTATCAAATTTCACTCAAAACTGCCCTTGTTTGTCCCTTGATCACATAAAGATTCCATTTTAAGGTTTCACATTAACCAGATTCCAAGTATGCTTGATCCGGGCCTAGTTGGGCCAATCCAACCCTATCAATCAGCTCAGAATGTCCGAAAACCTCACCCTGTGAAATTTCAGTCAAAAATACCCTCATTTATCCTTCCATCTAAAAAGATTCCACTTCGATTAACCTCACTAGTTCATACATGCATGTCCCATTCCACGGTTAAACCCATCTCAACCCTCCATTTTTTGGCCCAAAAATCTCCACCATTGATCTAGAAACCCGATTTGACCTCCTTAGACCCAGTTTGACCCAATTTTTTAAAATTACCAAAATACCCTCAAACTTCCAAAATTACAGAAATGCCCCTGATGCTCATTGTAAATTTAACCAAAACTATGATTCGACCTAATGGGAAGAATCCGAAGAATACACTATTCACTCTTCCTGACATCTCGACAAAATGGTCGATCGGCAATGAAATCCTTCCCCCATTCTCCCCCTCTTATTTTTCTCCCTTTCCCTCTTTCTTGGCCACTCCCACGGTTCCCTTCTCTCGTCCTTGAACCAGACCCTAAAGGAATGATTTCTCTTCTTCCCCCATTCGAACCTAGAAGCAGAGAAAGAGGGGTTTTCGGATTGTTCATCATTGTTTTCACTTACCCGAAAATCAAGAGTGATGGCTACCTAACATTGGCTTCACCCCTCACTTTTCTTCTCCTAATCTCATAAAGCAGAGAAAGGAGGGGGTTCTTACTATTTATCGTTGTTTTCACCTATACCGTCGGAGGCGGCGACAATTTCATTCCTCTCTACATCGGACTTCTTCAGCTTCCCATCATCTCTTTTATTTATTTTTTTTCTCTCCTCATTTCCCTTCTTCACTTTCTTCTTCTTTGTTTAGGTTTTTTTATGTGCCTTGTCTATATATACTATTGAGATACTTTGTAAGGGTCTTAACATTGATAGAAAGCTATCCACTATAACACTAGATAATTGTTCTATTAATGATGCAATGGTGAATATCTTATTAGAAAAGCTTTCTAGTGATTCATTGTGGTTGAATGGGAATTTATTGCATATGCGGTGTTGTGCTCACTTTTTAAATTTAATTGTGAAAGATGGTTTAAAAGTGATTGATGAGGGTATTGAAAGGATATGTGATAGTGCTGCTTTTTGGTCAGCAACACCAAAAAGAAAAGAAAATTTTGACAAGACAGTTTGTCAATTGAAAATCACACTCACGAAGAAGTTAATTCTTGATTATAAGACTTGGTGGATTCCACCTATTTGATGCTTCATGTTGCTATAGCCTATAAGAATGTTTTTCCATTATACAAATGTGTGCCAATTGAGAGGGATTGGGAAATGGAAAAAGAAATTTGGGAATGGTTAAAGTTGTTTTATAATGTAACTGAGATGTTCTCTAGAACCAAGTATCCTATAGTTAATCTTTATTTCCCTAAGATTTGTGAGATTAGATTAGCATTGAGGTAGTGGCTTAGTTGTGGGCATGATGTCATAGAAACAATGGTATAAAAAATGATTACTAAGTTAGATAAGTATTGGTGTGAGATTCAGGGTATTATGGTTGTAGCTATTGTCTTAGATCCTATATACAAGTTGACATTGTTAGAGTATTAATATAAACTTATCTATGGACAAGATGCATATTTGGGCGAAGTTAGAAAGGTCTAAGAAACTCATGTTGACTTAGTTTCTCAATATCAATGAAAGTCTAGTGATAGTAGTTATGTGTTTGAATTTTCAAAGGCTACAAAATTCTTAATCACGGATTGCTAGTCTTGATAAGTTGGATCACATGTGTAATTATGACTTGTACGTGGCTTGGAAGAGTAATGTTGCATATGTTAAGTCCGAGTTAGATTATTATTTAGAGGAACCTGTTAAACCTTGAACGGTTGATTTTAGCATATAGCATATTGGAGTGGTGGAAGATAACAAGGATTAGGTATCCTATTTTGCAATTGATTGTTAGAGATGTCTCGGGTGTTCCTATATCCACTATGATTTCAAAATCTTCTTTAGTATTAGTGGAAGATTTGTTAGCCCACATCGTAATAGGTTTCATCCAAATGCATTGGAGGCATGTGCACAAGATTGATTATGGGTTGAAATACAAGGTATTGAAGTATTTTAGTATAATTATTTAGGAAATTACAAAGACCCCCTTGTACTATAGGGTCAATGACAAAGACCCCATATACTTTAATTTGCAACAAAGACGCCCCTAAACTTTTATATTGTGATAAATACCCCACTAAACTTTCTCTATCTTCTTTTTCTGGCCATTTTCTCTTAAAACCTAATTGGCCTAAAAATACCTTTAATCATCACAAAAAACCCAAAAAAAACTTTAATCATCACGAAAAAGGAAACAATCTATGGAAAATTTATTGGTGACCCAAAATACTTATGTTTTTCTTATGAAAAAATAACATAAATATAACTGTTGTTACAGTACTAAAACAGAACTCAAACTTCACGTAGACGACATCAAATCAGTAGGAAAAGACATTCTTAAGTTTATGGATGTAAGCATTATAAGAAAAGGCAGAAATTACATATAATAAGTCCTTTGCAGTGAAAAAGATCACAAGTTTACAGGACTAACTCTGGCCCCCAACAATACCAAAGGTTTGACTATTAACTTCTAGCAACACAACATAGCATCGTTATTACCTAATCCACCATTAAGTTGTTTGGATAGTTACAGAGGTTTAGAAGTAGTTGATTTATATTATGTTCTTGGAGAATATGATTGCAATATTTTTCCTTTGATGTATTTGCTTTCTCTGCATTCAGCCTTGTACAGAATTTTTTGTCGGCAATGTTCAAATAGGAAATATCAGTCTCCCTCTCTCTCTCTCTAACAAATGCATACTAATAGGAGAAAACATTTAACATCTAATGGTTCTATAAGGTGAGATTAGATCAAGCTCTAAAAACTTGGAAATATGCTAAATTTTTTCTCTAAAATATAACAAAGATGAGTAGAAGAGCAAAATAAGTAGAGTGTGCAAATGAACGCATTCAAGAGGAGCAATCTAAAAGTACCAATGAGCATATAGAACTGCAACACATTTATATTTACATACATAGTAAAAAGCAAAAACAACTGATAATTGGCACGTAGTGTT